TTTTTTTTTTTTTTTTCTAGACATAAATAAGATAAAGTTAGAAAAAAAATTTAAATGCTTTTAAGTTTGAACTAATGTGTTTTTTTGTGTAGTATCTTAAAATTATTTCTTTTTTTAAATTTATTTCACTTTGGAACATTGAACGACATCTATTTGCGGAACATAAACTTAATAACCAGCTGTTTTTTTTTTCTTCTTTTTTTTTCTCTTCTTCTTTTCTTTTACTTCTTTTGCTGCTTTATAAGCTCTAAAAATTTTTGCTACAGATTAAATTTCTGTTCAATAAGAAAATTTACCGCTAACTACAGTTGTCAATTCAGACTTGATTAATAGTTGAGAACAAACGAATTGGTTGCTTAAAAATGCAAAAGTAACACTGCTTTTAAACTGTGTTGATGCAACTAAAATACCATAGATGTATTTGGTTACCCTTTGCAAAATCCTTTGTTGTTATCAAAATTTTTTGTACAACAAAAGATCAACATCAACATACGTATCTTTTGGATTGTTGTTGAATATGAACTACATAATTTTCTATCTTTAAAGTGTCTTATTAAGTCAAACCAAAAACACGTAGATCATTAATCTACCCTTTCACTGACAACATTAAACTGCTTCAATTCTTCCAACAGACAGTATATTGTACAGATCTTGCTTTCTTCTCCATAGAATATCTGCTCGATAGCCTCAAAAATTTTAATCAAATACAACAAACTAATTCAAGATTTGTCATTAAAACTAATACAATTCTTAAATTATATTCTACATAAAATTTTAAAAATTACTCTCTGCAGTAATATCTTTTGCTTATTTTTAAAAATATACAATGAAGAATTGTCTTAAAAATACACTGATATTTTAAAAAATTTTTATCCAATATTTTCAGCAAAAATAAGGCGATAATTTATGTTTATTTACTTATCACTTGTCTTCAATTAACAAATCTAATCTCAAAATGAATAACCATTAATAAAACAAAATCTGACGAAACAAGCCACGAGGGGGTTTAGCTCAGGGGTAGAGCGCTCGCTTTGCATGCGAGAAGTCGGGGGTTCGAATCCCTCATCCTCCAGCGAAGTTTTATTGGTCTGACCCAGCAAACAGCAGCCACAAGACGATTCCATATCAGCGATCACGTCGTTTTACCGACCTTTTAAAGAGTTTTACCTATTATTCGGTGCTGATGGCGGCAGAGCAATCAACAAAAGAAATGATTGATCCTTGTGAGGTAAAATTAAACAAAGTGTTTTCAAAACTTTATTATAAATTTCGTTCCCACTACCAATAGCAGTACAAAATGCTAAAAGGTATTACATGTTATTTTACTAAGTGATACCTGTTGTCAGTAAATAAATGATTAGAAAAATACGCAAATTATTACATCCATAAAACGACACCGATATTATTCAGCTACAGCACAAAAGCTATACATGAAAGACATTAATGAGGCGGATAAAACTTATGAATAAAATTCTGACAATCAAAAAAAAAGAATAGAAACCGATCAACAAAATTTCATATAAGAATAGTTGAATTAAGATTCTTTCGCGAAATCAATTGACCCGCTGTTTATACAGTAACGCTCTCCGGTTTCTTTTGGACCGTCACCGAAGACATGGCCGAGATGAGCATTACACTGAAAATTTGCAAAATATTTATAAACAAATAACTGAGGATTCTTACTCAGGATTGCCATCAAAAGCCTTCCTGAAATCTTTAATAATTTGAAACTTCTGAAAAGAAATGATAAAAACAGTCTGACCTTACGTAAACCAAGAATAGTAAAAAAAATAGGAACAAAGTCAAATTTTGACTGCAATTTTCCGAGGCACTTAAGATTCTTATAAAACGAAACTAAAAATGTCGGTTTTGCTACACTAAATCATGTAAGGCCCTAAAAAACGACACTGCGTCTTAACCATTTTATCTGCTAATCAGAGAAAAACTAATTTTGAGAAAAAAGAAAAGTGATCTTGAAAAATCTCTGCAATCTGTGTTCACAGTGAACACGGATCTTTCGTTTCGCACAAGACTGCCATTAAACTGCAACAAATGTCACCACCACGACATTTTACGTGATGTTCCAGTTACTGTCATTTACATCGAATAGCGAAAAAGTTTCCCATTCAATTTATGTGTTTTTCTAGTAGAGTTTGATTCGAATAGCAAAAAATCCAGTTCTGAGAGACTTCAGCTGATCCCTCATCACTTCTAACACCCAATTGACATATCTAACCAACAGGTAAACACAGTTCGAGAGGAAAGCTTAGCACATCCTTTTAAATTCACCTGTTTGCAACGAACTTCTGTTCGCTCCATACCGTTCGAAAAATCCTTAATACGAGTGATGTTTAAATCATTGTCAACGGACTTTGAGAAAGCTGGCCAGCCACAGCCTGAATTGTATTTGGCATCTGACCTAAAAATTCAACAAATATGAACAAATTAATGCCAAAAATTAAAATGAAAAAGCAAGTTACTAAAATACTTGTTTTCAAAAGCAAAAATGTCATTCAACAAACAGCTCCTGTTCATTCATTTCAGTTCTTGTAGAAAAGAACAAAAACAGTAGAAACAAACAAAAAGACCATATCTTTGCTTAGGGAAAAAGTTTTTAGAAAACCATAACACTGCTAAACCGTTACGCCATATTTACAAGTATTTAAAACTGGTTCATAAAAGCCACAGAAAAACAACTTTTCTGCGTGTGATAAAAAATGTCAAAAAAATTTCCATAAGTGAGATGAGGTATATTGTTGAAAACTTTTTTCTTGAAAAGACCTCAGGTTCTGCATTATAAATGTTTATTTGAAAATGTGTTCGAATAGAAAAACAAGGTTATTCCTTATAAAATAATGACCTATATTTGTGAACTGTAAAGCTAATAATTTTCAAAAACCTTTTCAACTCAATTTACTAAATGTTTTTTTATAAAAACGCGCACAGAAACTGAGGTTATAATGCCGCCATAAACAAACCAAAAACCATTTTTGTTTCCTCGTTTTACCTTGACGTAATTTTCTTGCAAAATTTTTTCCAGCTTTCAGACCGTATTCAGCGGCTGATCGACTATTCAGTTCTGTGCTCAGAATTTGTGTCAAGCGCCTACTACTTGCTACAAGACGTATTCCAAGCAAAGTACTTCACCTGAAAAGACCTAGCACAACTCTGCCTTCCAAAAGTTTGTGAACAAAGAAAAGTCTAAAAAATCCAATATCGCTGGTCTGACCCAAATCAACTGTTGTGGAGCAAAAATCTTTCAATTAAACAGACTCTCCACTGTATTTTCGCTTCGCTGAGTCAATTTTTTCATTTGATTAGAGCACAAAACTACAAATAATTTTTACTTTAGCTACCGTTTAAATAAATGAAATTGAAGCTAATCATCTGTAAGGCAATACAGAGAAAACTATTGTAAAACAAATACAATTTAAACGCCATTTTTCTCCACAATTTAGAAATCATTACCAAACACGTTTTGTTCTGTGACAAGAAATTTTTCTTTTAATGCCCCCTCTGGTAGGTGTCAGATAGGTGCAGCCTCATCCCTTACTTATCTAAATCTGATGTTTGCTAAAACTCATAGCATAAAAGTGCACTATTCAACGCCAAAATGTCACAGCTTTCGTCTCCGCTTCTCCCTAAATCTAAATGGCTAAGAATTTCCAAGTCCATAATTAATAAAAAGATAGATTTCTTACCTGCTTTAAAAAAAGTGCTACCTCTGCTAAGGCAACTGTTGCTAAGTATCAAAAAAATTAAATTCTTGTCCAAGAAACCATCATTAAAACTTGTAGCCTCTGTGATTTGCATAAAACTTTATAATTTCTAGGTTTTTTTTTAAGAACCGTGTTATTTATTTTTGAAAATTATTTTTCATCATGTGCATGAAAAAAAAGAGCCATTAGATGCATCGAAAAAAGAAACTGTATAACTGTGTAAGAAGTGAAGAATATGTTCGAATAACTTTTTAAGAGTTTCGCGTAGAACTATGCTTTTAGAAAGGAAAAAATGACGAAACGATATTATCATAAAACAAGAAATCAATAACTGACGATCAAAATAAAACTTTGAAAAACTATTACGCTTTTAATACACCATGACATTTTGAACTACAAGTTTGGTTCGAAACTACTACAGCCAAGTCTGAAAAATAAACAAAGAAAAAAAAAGAAGAATCATGCAAACAGTGTGAAAATGTTAAAGTGATGCAAAGCTAAAAAACCCTTGTAGTTCATCTCATCATCATCAACTAAGTCCTGACCATGTAGAGATACCGCTTTAAAACTAAAATACTGTAAACGGCGTAATATCCAACATGAAAAAAATTTTGTTTTTAAACAACCCAAAGTGGATTTCCCAATAGTTTCGTTAAAAGCTTCTTTTTAAAAATTGCACAAATCTTGTCTGGAAAAATAAAAGTGAAAACTCTGTACTTCAAAAAACTGCATCCTTTTATCTTCCAAATTTGTAGAAAGCAGTAAAACATACTTGAAAAGTTGAGCGCCACAACAGACACAGTGATAAATGCCATTTTCAAAAAATTTGTCATATTTTCCGCTGAATGGTTTCTCAGTTCCGCTTTCTCTTGTTATTTCATACTGCTCGGGAGTCAAAACTTTTTTCCACTCTTCATCAGTAACCTCTTTTGGCGTTTTATTGATGTTCAGCTTTGAAAAGGCACCTTTACCTAATAAACTGCTGTTGAGTTCACTGACTTTTGAAAATAACTTTTTTTTTCGAAAAAAAACGGGGAAACATATATCGCTTAACAAAATTCAATGAAAATAACCTGATAAACTAGACATATTCACCGTAAATCTACGAAGTGCGCAACCTGAAAAATACCAGGTAAATGTTTTCAGAATACTGCTGAACAGTGTGGTCGACAATTATACAGAAATATGCTTAATGAGCTTTTTTTAAAACTATGCCAACATTATTAAAGCTCATCTCTACTCTCCTAATCTTAAAACAAAATAAACTTCAAAATACTGCCTTGGTAAAACAAAGCAAGTAACAGCACAACAGAACCCAAAATGATCCTCACTTTTAACTCATAACTGCTCATTTCTTCTCGAATGCTCAAATAAAAAGTTTTGTAACTTATACAGTTTCTACTCATCACTTTTTCCAATAAATTTTGTTCCGTATAACCGTTTCAGACTTCCCTTCATTAAGAAAACCAATTTAAAATACAAAAAATTATCTAAGCGATCATCTCCTTGAAATTCGTGTACAGAAAAACAAATGAACAGACAATTAACGAGCAGTAGCGACAACTATTAAAAAAGAGAATCTATTTTTTAGCAAATAGCTTTTGATGCAACTTTGCAGAGAAATGTGCGAAAAACCATTAAAAAAACCATGTGAAAAGCTCGTTCAGTGAATGGTACTAAAATATGTAACCAAGCAATCATTGACGTGCTGTAAGAAAACCGTATGAAAACTACAATAAAAATTTCCATCAACTCTGATATTGATTTACATGACGCCAAACTACGTAATTGTACTCAGTTTTCAGAAGCTCTATTCCGCAATCCACATTTACATAATTCAGTACAAAATCCGGTAAAACAATTAAGAAGATTTTTGTTTTCAAAAAGAATATAAAGCAAACTTTGAAAAATTAATGTAGCAGACATGACAGCTAACAAGTGATGCACTCTTCAATCACTTGTAATGATTAACAGCTGCACAGTATCAACAACATCTTACAAGACAACAGATTTATAGAATTCTTAGAAACGTTTCTTCTTCAGTGCCAAAAGAACACAATTTACATAACTTTGATCGCAAAAAAACCATTTGAAGGTAATAAACGAAACACACATAAAAAAGCTACAAAAAATTATCAGAAAATAAAAGACAGAAAATTCGTAGATGACTTCAAAAAATTCCCAAATGTGCACTGCACTAAGCTGTAATCTTAAAGTTTAAAACAAAGTACTCAAATGTTTTACTAGAAACAATTGAACTTAATCCTGCATTTCAACTAGCACGCCAACCCTGCAACTCTTAAAAGATGTTTAAAAATAAGTTTTCAATAAAATTCCCCCACCAATATTCCAGTTCACAATAAAGTAGAAACAAGAATTTAACAATAAAGAACGAGTTTTATCATTGAAACGTTTAATGAAAAGCAAATGCCTGAAGTACTCTTAAAAGACTAAAATTTTGTGCATTATTAATAATTGACTATTAGATGCTACAGCTATTTAAAACAGCTAATGATATGACTGAAAAAAATTTTTTCTCTACAGTTGACCACCACTATAGACTTGTGTCAGATACCTTGACACACAGCCGGCTGTGCCATTTAATACTACGCGATTTCCGTTAAAACTTTAACAGACTTCAAGATCAAGTTATTATAGTTTTTTAGTGGACAAAAGTTGAGCTGAAAACTAATAAACTCTGAATGATGTAGATGTTTGGTAGGCGCTTATCACTGTCTGCTATCTGCTGTATTTAATTCACAAAAAGTAGTCGCTCAAAAAATGTATTATTTGCTCCTCTTATCCATTAACTCTTGACAGTTCATACAACTCACAAAAATACTACTTATATTTGCAAGATCAAAATTAATAGACCATCAATAAAGCTTTTACTGAACTGCTTCTACCGTGAAATACTGTGAAAAATTTCACCACTGATATTTTATACTATAATACAGCGATATAAATGTAAATACCGTCAAATCTTTCACTGGTTTTTAATCAACTATGCAGGAATCATAAGTGAATATCGAAATCTACAGTCATCAAACGGTTCAACCATTTTTGCTTTATCTGCTGTTATTCGAGTCGAATCCTGATAAAAATTTCAAAAGAAACCTCGTTTATATTGTCTAAAACAAATATCGTTAAAGCTCAAAAACTTTGGCTCAGAGGAAAATCAGTAAAGTTGCATCAGTGAAAGACAAACAACTGTGTCGCTTGAACACACAAACTTTGCCATCATTTAGGAAATACTATTTTGGTCAATAAAAAAAAAAGCACTAACTTTCACAAACTATTCAAATAACTTTTCCAATCATCAAATCCACAGAAACGGAATAAAAGTCTATAACTTCTTTAAATCGTAATGTACTAAAAACATTAAAATTAGGCGACAATTGCCAGTATGTATTTAAAAAATTTGGAGTATTAAATGAAAGCTTTATGAGTGTAACAATTCTCAGAAGTTTCAACAAAATTTTTGGCCTTTATGATTGATTTGACTTTTTACCAATAACAATTAACAAAAAATCTCTAAGCAATAAACAATCAAATTCTTCAAAAAGAAAAATGAGTTTATACGAACTAGTAAAAGTTATAATGATTCCAATAAAATTACTAATGAATTATAATTAAACTTTTTTGCTCTTAGTAAACAAATAACCTTTCCACATGATGTCTGATTATAAAGAGACTGTGTTGCAAAGAAACAGCTAAGAAAATGGATCCAAATACTTATAGTCAAAGTCACTAAAGCGTTATTTGTAAAAAAATTTAAACTAATCAAGATGCAAAGAGTTACAATCTGCTTATTCTACGGTTTTTGGCAATTTATAAAAAATAGTCTTGAACAAACTTGATGTTCCTTTGATACTGCTTATTCTTAATCACTTAAGCCAATTAAACGGCTAGAAATTAATAAGTGCACTACAAGTATCTGCTATCAGTAACGACTTCTATAAATAGTAGTTCAATCTACAACTTAAATACCAATATCTTTCCCTTCACTAACGAATAAAGACAGAATAGTAATAAAGCTGATTTTAGCTCAAAAAAATGCAAACCAAAGAAAACAGTAAAAACTATGCAGAAGCTTCAAGAAATAAAACAACGACAATCACGCAAAATCGATATGTTTGCAATGAAAATAAATATTTGTAAATTCATTCTTCTTTTTCCTTTAAAAAAACTAAAACTCAAGCAGGAAAACGATGTAACTATTTGAAGATGCAATTTTCGCTCAGCATATGCGCCTTTTTTCTTATTTCATCTTCACAAAAATTTTTTAGTGCAATCAGACATATCATCAGAAATCGCAGCACTCCTCCAAACAGATTTTTGCCTCTTGCTCCAACTACACTAAAAATCACGATAAATTTTTCCATTTCATTAAACTGTTCAAAATTTTCCCTATGCTATTGGTATTTCAAAGTGACGGCAGTTTATTTAAATTTTCCGCTCAAAATCTTAGTTTCATGAAAAATTTTACAAACAGCAACCTATTTCAAAAAATATTTCCCTTAGAATAACCAAATAAATTTAAATTTTTTTCTATGCTCTCCCAAATACAGCCGTAAAAAGTAGCTTAAAAAAAAAAAGAACCAGAAAGGGCAACTAAAAAATTCCAACTTTCCCTCTCCTCCAAGAAAAGCAATTATCTTCATCTAACATAGTTTATCTACCATCGAGTCAACAGTAAAAATCTTCAAACCTTAGTAATGTTCTTTTTAACAATGCAGTTTTTCTTTTTTTTTTAGAAGTTCCAGGAACAGCTGACCAGGATACGAGCAGAAGCAAAGACGTTTAGACCTTTCCACGGCTACAAACTTATGTAATCACTTTGAAGTTCTGTATAGTTTATGAGCAGTAAAAAAGTCGATGCTACTTACATTTATATCGTTGTTTTGTAGTGTAAAATATTAGTGATGTAATTTTTCACAATAATTAAAGATAGAAGAATGTTAATATAAACTTTATTGACAGATTACCAATATTGATTTGCAAAATTAAACGATATTTCTGAGCGCTGCATGACTTAAACGAAGAGCAAATAAAACATCTTTTTTGAGCAACTAAAGTTGTGGCTGTTTAGTGAAATATAGAAAATAGCAAGCAGTTATCAGCATCCATCAAACTGTTGTCAGTTATTGAAGACATTTTACAGTACTTAAAACTGTAACTTGATATAGAGACTTTTTACTTTATTCCTCAAAATGACAGTTCTTTCAAACTCACTCTAACCCTTTTAAAGAACTACCGCTTCACACTTCCAAAAACTGCTTCCAAAACAAATTAAAGTGTCTCACACATCTTGGCTAATCATGGATCACTTACAAAAATTTTACTTCTGCTGCCTTTCCTGAATAATAGTCCTGAATCCCTCGAAATTCTTCTCTTTCTCAGGTATAAATTTTATAAGTCGTAACTTTAAAAAAATATAGAAGACTAAACCTCAAATACGTGTCATAAAAAAAAATGCAGACAAGCTACAAAATCAAAGACTGCTCCACAAGGTATCGCTTCACTAAAAGTGAGAAACAAGTTGTTGACTTACAGCGTCTATAAAAATTTTTTCCTTTCATATTTATCTGTAGATAAGAAGTTTTTCTCACAAAAATCAAGTATAGATTAAAACAGATTCTCCACTAAATAACTATTACAACACCAAAACCACTTTCAGTACTAGAAAGACTAATTGCAACTTTGCACTAAATTCAAGATTTACTAGTGAATCTAAATCGCTATAAAAAAACAGTAAATGAACTTTAATACAACAACAACTATGACGAATTGGAAGAAACATGCTATCCTGATAAAGAATTACAGCAACAGTTATTGATTCAAAAGTAAAACTGCTTTCAATAAGCTTTGGAGAAAAAACGAAAGAAAACAGAATAAAGCATGACAAAAAGAGGTTCGTTATATATTTACAACTCTCTGTTTGCCTTAGATCAATCTTTAAAAGGCTTTCAGAGTTCCGAATAATTCAAGTACCGCTATTCCGTGCACATTTCTAACACCACTGCACTCAGAACTTTAACGATAATTCAACAAACTAGAAGTGAAGAATTCAAAAAGCAATGAGGAATAATGATTAGCCCATTATTCAAACAACAAAAACGTTGTCTTCAGAATATAGAGATTAAAGTGAGACTTCCAAAAAGCAAAAATTGTCTTTAAAAAGCTCATTAAACTTTCACTTCTATAACCCCAACTCATGTGGCATATGGTGGAAAAGATAGTCAAGTGATAGATGTCAAAAGTTTAACTAAAAAAGCCAGAAAGAAGCAGAGTTTTTTTGATCCATAAAATAATTGTTCGCCAAAAAGTAGTAAATTTTGCGCAAAAAAAAAACTTGTAAGCAGATTTCATTTCAAAAAATAAAGCGCACAAATACTCCAATAAGAAACCGTCTTCAAAGGTCAGACTTTTATGAGTTTCTATCTGATAGATTTTGAAAATCAGTTATTCTTAATAAAAGAAAAAAGAAAAGTAAAACGAAAACACAACAACTGCAAGTGTTTCACACAACTGTATTCCCATGCATCAAACAATTACCGTTACGAATATTAAATGTTCTTATACAAAAACACTTCAAAAAATGAGAAAAAAAATGAACTGCGAGAGAGAGAGATAATGTTATCGAAACTGCTGTTACAAAACTTAATCTTTACAAACTTAATCTTATAAAATCACACAGTAAAAAAACTCAAATTTTCTCGCCTTAAAGTAGTTCTCCAATTACTTCTAAAAACACAAACAGTATAGCTTAAAAGTTCTCTAAAAACTGAAGTTTGGAACAAGAGATATCGCACTCAGTTTACATTGCAAAACATGATTGAGATGGTCTTCCGTCGATTTTTACTTCCTTTTCTTTTATTTATGATTGATTTGGTTTACCAAGTTCTTAACATGTTATATATAATTTTAATATTTTTATAAAACTATTATTCTACCCTTATTAGTTATCTTATCCCTTTCCTCATCAGTTCAATCTCTTAGAGTCCCTTACTTAGTTTATCCAAAATTCAGTTATCTGAAAGTAAGTATGAAGTAAATTTTTACTCAATCAGTACACCATGAAGCAACAGAACCCAGTGCAAGCGTAAAAAGGAGAGCACATAAGCCTAAGCAATACAAAAACAACGTCAATAAGAGACACTTTAGAGCATAATTTATGGTTTAGAAATACCAAAAAAAGAATTGTTTAACAATCAGAATACTGTAGAAGAGGAAAACTTCCATCACACATTTTAAATATTTTTTGGTGCTCTAAACCAACAAATATCTTATTATCACTTTGGGAAGGTGGTTTTTACTAGAGACTCCAACGATTTGTGAAAAGTTGTTCAACGAAAATTATGAAAAAAAAGTATACTGTTTCAAGAGCGCTTTATAACTCTTCTTTATAGAGTAGCAACTATTAATTCCAGATCAATAACATTTATTTCTGACAAACCTAATTCTAAAGTTTTATACTCAGTAGATATTTTAAAATTGAATGAAGGAGTGGGTCTAGTTCCAATAGAAGGGGAAAGAAAGAATAAGACCTCTGTTCCGTTAGAGAAAGACAAGATAAACAAAAAGAAAAAAAAACAAGTATCTTAAGAAATTATTAAAACTGCTAGGTAAATTTTGTAAAATGTGGTATGATAAATAATTTTTCAGTTCCATAGGAAAACAAAGTTTAATATATCATTCATCAAAAGCTGTAATCTATCAAAAAAAAAAATTTTTTTTTTGGAATTATTACAGTCATTAAAGAGAGGGATATTTTAAGAGAAATTTGAAAATTAGAAAGAATTATGAAGTCGAATGTAGGCAAAGATAATTTGTTTCGCTTAGTCAAACTTTCCAATAGAAAAAAATCTGACAAACCTTTGGATCTGCTTCACCAGGAGGAAACTAATAAATCAATATCTAAAAAAAACCACCATTACTATTTACGCCATGTGGATTATTTTACACTTTTGTGGTCCCTGCCTGTCTAAGAGAATACCTTGACTCAGCCATAAAAGTTATATTTTACACGAAGTCTATTGTGAAAAATGAGAGCCTTTTCTATTTTTCTGAAAATCTCCTAACATCCTTATCCAATTCTGACAAAAAACTTTCTTAAGTTTTCCATAGTTCTAAACTTTAATTTAGTACAAGCCAACAAAAAAAGACCTTCAAATAATCTAAGCATACTTAGACCATATGATAAAAATATGATGTCGTTTCTGAAAGAACTAGATGAAGTGTCAAAAGTGTTAAGTTGAGCCAGTAGCCTACAAAACAAATCCACTTTAAGCCTACTTATCCCGTTCTAAATTAAAAATTAGTTACCCTCTGCTGTTACAGTTAGATTTTGAAAAAAAATCCATCAATCCATAAGCATTCGCCTATACAACTAAACCTTATAGAGGAAAACAGATTTGGTTTTCCTTGAAACAATAATTCTAATCACAGAAGACAATAGAAGATACTTTTTAACGAACAATTTATTAACAGACAAAGGTAAAATAACAATTTTAGGAAGCAAAGCCATTTTTAAAGAAACAAAGTAATAAAGAGAACTCATTTCTGAACTAAACAGTAAGACTGATATTTCTCTGTTAAATAATTTTATAAACGCGATTCTTCTTAATCTGTTCCAAGAACATTCTTGAAGTAAAAGTTCATGATTTTCACTCGATAAATTTGATTCCAAAAAACTAAACTGCAAAAACATTCAATCTTTATCACTTTTCAGGAGGTCTTAAATTATCTTTGGAAATTAAACGAGTTAAATTAGAAGCGATAAAACTGAAATTTGAAACAAGAAATATGACACTTAGCTCAGACCGCAAGGTGAGAGAGACACGGCACTTAATGTATACTTCAAAAACGTGATTGATCAAGTTTCTTAACGATCTTCATTATTTGTACCTATTATGTAATATAGTTCATCAAATTCTATGTTTATAATCCTTTACCAAACTTTCCCAAAGTTGTCATTGGTTGTTATCGCTTGCTGTTTGACTGAAATTTTACTTCACTGGTAACATTAAATTCAATCGACCTTATTTCTAAGCTCATCAGTTACTTCATTTCATTTCTTTCTTCGTCAAAATTTGATCCCGTTCATACACACTTTAGCTTTTTTAAGTTCCTGTCATTGCAAATTACTTAGTGTCTTCAAGTGGAGAGAATTTCAACTTTATTAGTGTATCGCAGTGTAATTTAACTCAATTTCAGTGTGAGAGCGAGACGATTCAAGTTACTCTCATTAGGTCAGCAAGCGTACTGTAAGGAGAAGAGAATTTGTAGTATAATCTATGATTCAGTGACAACAAAGAATAGTATTCAAAATTAGAATACTGTGTAAGATTAAAAAGTTCCACCATAAATCCATAGACAGAAAAAATGTTCCACAATTTATGATAGAAACACTAAGAATAACAAGACGAAAAAGTCGGGAAAAAACTCAATTTTTTCTTCCGGTAGAAATCAGAAAAGAACCAACAAAAGACATGCATATTCAAAAGCAAACCATTCACGAAACATCGCAGCATACGATCCATTAGTCCATAAATTTGACAACAATAAGACAATTTTGCTGTAACGAAAGAACAGGCACGTTCAACTGTTCAAGCGAACGGTAGTTATCCTATGCGTATCGAGTTCTACAAACTAATATTTCAGTTGAACTTTTCAAAAATAAAAAAAAAAAAAACGAAGAAAAAAGGAAATCGATCGATAACGAGATCTGATATACTCAATTAAGTAACAAAAAAAAAGAGGAAAGAATAGGCAACAGGTAAAATATGCGTACGGCTGTGGTGAGCAGAGGAGAGAAATACATAAAATTCCAATGTGACATATACAATTAGGATAGAAGAACTACACCGACACTGGGTAATATCAGCAAAGAAAAAAAATTTTCCCTTCGTGTTCTATAATTGTTCAATTAAAATTAGCAATTTTGTAATTGCCAT